ACGTACGTACGTACGTACATACATTTGTTTGCCCAGCTTGGCGCATCTGAATCTTAGGTGCTTCCGTTCAGCTTGACGGCCCTGCAAAAGCTTGCCCGCTTCGCAGCTTGGCGACTCTAGATCCCGCGACTTGTTTGTTAGCCAGCTTGTTCAGTTGTAGCTTACGAGAACATTGCAGCAGAATTCGCATGTGGATAATGGCGTTATAACCAAGGCCCTTAGCCTTATCCTCCCCAATTTGAGATTGTTAAAGGGCCTCATGAATCTTGGATGCTCACCTGCTTTTTGAATCAGGACTTGTCAATCTCGCGGTGCTACGATCCCAACGAGGACGGAGCTCAACACTTCAATCCTGTCACGCATTAGCCCCCTCGTCAAGAAGGGCTGTGATACGTTTCAGGCCTTGAGTCATTTCAAGCTCCTGGTGCAGGGATGTCCGGAGTACTTAGGCTGAGGATCTCGACTCTACTCGGGGCTTGTAGGAGCAGGGGTGTTCAGACAAGTGAAAATGAATGTGATGAAGACAACTGGCAGGTCTGGACGTTCTGGCCAGCCTGAGCATAGCCGTTGGTGCAGATGCCATTATCTCAAGAAAATCCCAAGATACTATATAGCAGTTTCCATTTTCNNCCATTATCCCTTATAACCCCAACCCTAAACCCTAAACCCTATATAACCCAAATATAGTAGTTTCCATTATCTTTTCCATTATCCCTTACAACCCCAAGATCTTCCCTAAAACCCCTATATAACCCCAATATAACCCCTATATCCTTATAGTTTCCATTTTCTTTTCTTCCATTATCCCTTATAACCCCAGTATGTACCCAACTGCAAATGGAAAAGGCAATCGGCTTGCCTGCAATGTATGCAGATCGGCAGAACTAGATAAAGGTTTAGGGTTCAGGGTTTAGGGTTTAGGGCTTTAGGCTGACGACAAAGCCTCTCATGAAGGCATTGCTTCCAGCACGGTACTCGTCTTGTCGATAGAGCCCCTAGACTGGAGTTTCTCAACACTTGGATTCCTATTAAAAAAGGATTTTGGTAACCCCAACCCCCAAAATTAGGACCCTATTCACCATCATATGATAGTCATAGGGTCCTAATTTTGGGGGTTGGGGTACCAGCATCCCCTTACTACGCCCTCTCCCCAGAATAAACCCTAAACCCTAAACCTAAACTAGAAGCAGGAGTTGAGACTTCGCCGAGTGATTGCAGCCATTGGCAGGCTTAGCTTCGAGCTCCTTGCTTGCAGAAGATTAAGTAATAACCCTAAACTTAAAGGGTAAGGGGGAGTGAGTCTAGGGACGATTACAGGGGTAATTATAGATGGGGATGATGGATGGGTTGTGTAGATAAACCCTTTACAACCGCAACACAACCCCTACTTGATGCCTACTTTAGCCCCTAGATCCTCTAAGAAGGTGGACAGAAGCCTTCACAAAGCTTCGATGCGGATAAACGTTTTTATGACATTGGAGATTCCTAAACTTACGAGTACCATTTTGAGGTACCCATAACAAAGATTATTGTAGCACTTTTGGGTCTACATTCGGGTAGCAGTATTTATGGAAAATACCAACTGAGCAAACTGCCCGAGTGAAGTTCCCACTGTGGCCATGGCGTCCCCAAATGTCATGAAAGCGGTTTAGGAGTTAGGTTTTGGGGTTTAGGGTTTAGTAGAAGCATCTGAGGACAGTAAAGTTGAAGACTTTCTTGACTGGACCTAAGCCCAAAACAATAATACCTAAACCCTGAACTCAAAACCCAAAACCTTAAATCCTCAAACCTAAACCCTTAACCCTAAACCCCAAACCCTAAACCCTAAACCGTCTTGACATTTCAGTTGTTTGCTTGGAGGGGTCCTAGCTCGCATTTGCTAAACCCTCGGCCGTTGGGATTTGAGGGTTTAGGGTTTAGGGTTTACCCCAAATGGGTGTTTCCTAAAATTAAGGGTACCATTTGGGGGTCCCCTCAATAAGGATCATAGTATAATAGGGCCCATATTCGGGTCCCCTTACTTGGGGAACTCACCAAATCAGCTATGTTCTAGGGTTCAGGGTTTATGGTTTGGGGTCTGACACTCCCAAAGAAAAGGATGTAGGGGACTACATAGGGGAGAATTATAGGGGTTACTAAGGGGGATGCTAGTTACTAGGAGTTTAGACTATGGCTCAAATTAAAAGCCCTAAAGCTCATCTGATTTTCAGTTGCCGGGGTAAAGTCCCTGTACCCTATATAAACCTGGTGCCCAACACAACCCCAATATACCCCCTGTATAATCCCTAAACCCTTAGGTTTCTGTTGAAAAACGTGGCAGCATCTTGGTGAGCTGAGGAACAAGATCCAGGCGCTGGGCCAGCTGATCTTGGATCGAGAGGCACCAGGGAGCGGTTTAATAAGTTGTAGGGATTAGGGTTTAGGATTTAGGATTTAGGGTTTAGGGTTTAGGATTCAGGGGCTCCAGGAGCGGCGGAGGGGTTTATAAAGTGGGCTAAAGCCCCTAAATTCAACTGGGCTTAAGGGACTGAATGAACATGATAATGGGGAAAGCCAAGCGCAAAAGACGCTAGTCAATGACATGGGCAGTTTTTCTTTAAACGCGCAGCTGTTAGGGGGTTAGGGTTTTTTGAGGATTTCCGGCTTTGGGTTCTGGGTCTTGTGCAGTGCAGGAGTATACTGAGCTTAGTTGGGATTGGAAACTTTCAGCGATGATTTTTGACTGATTGTATCTGAATTTCTTCAAAAACCTTCAGCATTATTGAGTCTGGGATTCCCGCAAATCTGGGGTTGGGGGATTGTGGTATGGGACTTGGGTTTAAAAAATTGCGTAGCGAGGGCGGCTTAAGTGTGTGTCGTCTAGCAACCGTTGCTTGGTACAGGAAGCTTCCCTAAACCCTAATTCAATCAGAACCCCATGCATTCCGTGGATCTGAACTCACAGGTTTAGGAGTTTAGGGTTTAGGGTTTAGGGCTGGCAGGTGCAGGCTTCATGATAATGATGACGGGGTCCCCTTAGTATTGATATTAGAGCCACGAAAAGGGGCGGTTGGGACAATGCTGGGACCAGTTTTTGTTGATGCATGGGGTAAAGTCATGTTCTCAGCCCTAGAGACTCCAATGTAGAGACTCCAATGTAGACCCCTAATTAATGAACCCCCTCCCCTTAATGGAGATTATAATCGGGATTCTAATATTAAGGCCCTTAAAAGGAAGGGTCTATTTCCCATGGGTCTACATTAGCGAGCTTCCTGAACCTCAACTTACGAAGTCAATCTGGCGGTGTTTGGGTACATTGTCGACCCGAAATCTTCGACCTTGTAGTTCAAGACACCAATCCGCCGCAGACCGAGTCTCAGGCGATCTCCGTGTTTACAGGAGAACTTGATCCAAGGCCTCAAACTATTAGACTCACACTACGACAACTTGCTAGGCTGGCAGTCGTCCGTTGCCTTGGTCCTACTTCAAACTTGTGGTGGCATGAAGTTGTGCCACAACCCTAAACCCCAAACCTCAAACTAGTTTGTTGAAATGTGGACCCTGGTTCCCACACAATGAACAAGTGCTTCGACACAGCCTTGGGAAAAGTGTTTGTGCCACTTCTTGAATTGCAAAGTCCTAGATGCAGTTCCTGGCACTGCCATGATGTTGAGCAAAGGTGTGTTGAAGGTCGATATTTCAAGGGGGATATATGAGGAACATGGAACAGGAAATGGAAACTACTTTTTTTTTCCGGAAGTTTCTTTGGGCACTTCGCTGTAAAACAGAGATTGATCTTGCACAGAAGGTTTCCAGATCTCCCCGCACCCACCCGTCTCGTGACTAATAAGGAAATGAATAAAGAAAATGAAAACATTGAAGCTATTCATAGTAATATCATTATAATTATAAGTATTATGAATACTAATATCAAAACTGCTAGTAATGTTACGAATATTGATATAATGATGAATATTCTTAATACTTTCTTAAAATTACATACAAAGCTCCTCCACGCCGAACAGACGAATGTGGAGCAGGGACTCTTCAATCAGCAGCGCTGCTTGGCTGCTCAGAGTCTTTTGGCCTCGAGTGTGGGCCCACCTTGGGGGCAAGCTTAGTTGAGCTATAGTCTAAACTCCTTCAAGGGGTTATATAGGGGATTACATAGGGGATTATAGCGGGGATTCTAGGAGTTGAGATTATAGCTTAATGGGCCAAGGCAGTCTGTAAGATGTGGGAGAGTGTTCACAATACTTCAGCCCAGGAAGTGCGAGCTGGAGTGAGCCTGATATGCCTGAGCCGGATGATTTTCGGGATGACCGTAGCCACGTACAGTCAGAGCTCGAGGTGGTTGTTGAAGCCTCAGAAGGCGATGGCTCCGGGAGTGTCCGCGATTCGCCAGCGGAGACTGCTTTCCGGATGCAATACTTGAACACCACCGACTACCAAAAGCAGTTTGAGGCCCCACTGGAGGAGGTCGTTTTCTGATTTGTGCATTTTTCGTGAAGCTAAAGGCATGATGCAATTCATGTAGTAGTAGGAGGCCAATGCCAGTCTCGAATGAGCGGCTTGACCTTCCCGTCGTTTCCCAAACGGGAAATAGCGTCTTCTGGGTTGCTGTTAAGGGACTTAGGCTAAGTTACCATAATGGGTATACTACGGGTATATATAGCAATTAATATGGTTTCCCCATCATAGTAACTTAACTTAACTTAACTTCCTTAACAGCATCCCGGTCTTCTGTGAGTGTTGGCTCCAGCAGTCTGAGCAGTATTGTTGAAGGCCAGAAGCCTTCATGATCTGGTAGTTTCCAGAGAGAAGTGAGAAGGGGGCCCCAGGAATAGTCATTATGGTAGGGACCCCCAAAATGGAAATTTTGGGAACCTCCCCCCCAAGTGTGCGATACTCACTCGGGCTCATGCAGGTGTTTGTTCAGGAGCATCATAGGGCGAAAGGTTTGGTTTGCCAAAGAATACTTTACAAGTGTACCCAAAGCATACAGCCCCCTTCTCAACCATATTCTGCGCAGATAGTTTTAGCAGCAGATGGGCACCTTGACATGACATATTCAAATGCCTGTAAAAAGACTGGGCGTCAGATGTGAAGAAGACGTGGACAATGTCCTGTAAGCAGCTAGACAGGGTCACGGTTCTGCTACAGCGGACAAATGAAGTAGTAGCGATTTTCAGGTTATGTCCTAGTTTAACTGCACACGTGCACGGTCGTAACAATCCACAGTTTCCTTTCAGGTTTGCTTTGTCTGAGACCTGTTCTCTGCTGCCATTGGGCTTCCGGATGCTTTAGGAAAACCTGTAGGGCTTCCTGAATCCCATGAGTTGCCACCTTTGGGGTGGAGGGCCGATTGGAGTTGTGTTTGTTCGCTTTTTCTTGAAGGCTTCTAGAGCAGTGTAGCGAGAGCCGCTACCAGAATTTTCACAGTGGGCTGCGAGCAATCTTGTCTTATTGTATTTTACTCTCAGAGGAGGCTATCATCGTGCTTTCTTGTTATGAACTTCCACATGTGTTGATGTGGCCTGCTCCAGACTCTCGCATCGAAATGACTACTTGTTCCTGGTTCCGTTCATCATCGATACTTCTCCTTATGATGCTTGATTATGGTCTAGAGGCTTGTTATCATCTTTACTGATCTATCTTGCTTCTGTCCAGCCTCATTTTTCAACGTTCTTGCAGACGGTCACGCACGTCAGCGCAACAGGTGGCGGAGCTTTGTCGAAGAGCTGAGAGGGGCGAGCCAATCTTCTTTGACGTTGTGGGCACCAATGACTAGTGCCGCAGTGGAGGAACCACCCCAATGTACTGTTTCCATTTTCTTTTCCATTATCCCTATGGTAACAAGACTTTCAGTGGCAATGATGCTGGCTGCGCATGACAAATGAAGTGCAGGTTGCCCTGCAGTTATGCGAGACGAATGCCCAAAGAAGGTGGAGCCCTCGCGGAAAAGGTTTCCAGCGTCGTGGCTTCAGCATAGCAGTGAGGCAACAGTGAAAAAATCATACGTAGCCGGCTTTCTGGAAAGAGTGTTCTCATGGACGGACTGGCTGGCATCAAGCCTAAGGTGATGACATAGCTTATAGGTGTATTCTTAGGCACACTCACCATATCCCCCATATGTGGGGTATGTATGGGTTCTATAATGTACTGATTGCCATTCTTCTTCCGACTGTTGTTGCCGACTGCTAATCCCTTGATGAAAACGCTGGTAGGGGGGCAAAGAAGGGCCGGCATACGATGCACCGTGTAGGGGTCCGGATTATGACGGGGCTACTTCACAAGGCTCCCACGCAGAAAATTACCGAATTTTACAGGCATGGTTTCGGATTGCTCCTTCTATGGCTATGTCTGTACCTTCTCTGGATGGGGTATGTTTCGGGCACGAAGTTGGCTATCAAGTCCTAAACCTTAAGCCCGTTGGGCTGAAAGAAGGGTTGTCACAGGCATAGGCCTCATGTGGCCTATTCAAGACACAGAAGTACACCGTCAATTCCGAGCTGATGACACACATGGACAATTCAGGGCTTCGAGCCCCTACCCCCAGAAGGGTTTAGGGTTTATAGTCTTGGGTCGACGCATGTTTGGGTCGCCATCCTAGTAACTGCTTTTGTTTTCAAGCATCAGAGCCACCAACCGCTTTCTATATATGTCAGGGCCGTCACAAAATGTCACTACACCAACTCGGTTACTGTTTGTTCTTACCGGGTAAGTGACGATACCCTGGTTTGCAGCGCGTATAAGTTTTCTGAGTCTCCCACCATACCCAAAGCTTTCAGAAACCTCACCGATAACCTGGTTGCCAGAATGCACCCCGCAATTATGATCACGCTTCTTAACGCCGTTGTCATTGACCAGTCGATCGTAGTAGTATCACTTTGACTCCGCCAGCGACCCCGACCGCCCAAAACTGCAAACGTTGGAGGGGGAATCACTTGTCTTTCCGTGTCTTCGAACCCTAAACCCTAAACCCTAGCCTGGGGCATCCCCGGAAACTGCCATGTTTTGGAGGTCAAGCCCAAACCCCAGACCCATCCAGACCCCAAAAACCCTAAACCCTAAATTCTAAACCCCTAAACTTACCAAACCAGCATGCCGTAAACCCTGTCGCGTAGCGCTAAGGTGGACTCCCCACCCTGTAATATTGATTACAAGGGCATTCTCATATTCCTATTATACCACTAATGCAGGATGGGGGGTCATTTTAAGGTAACCCTGTTGCCTAAACCCTTATATACTCCCCCATATAACCCCCTTGCCACCCTAAACCCTAAATGGTAGCTTCGATATTCTTTTCCACTCTCCCTGTATCATCCACTCAATAACCCCCAAACCCTAAACTCTAAACCCGGTATGCTTCTGGTTGTGGGAGGCTCTACTTCTCTGCGGGCCTCGAAGGAGGACATCACGGCAGGCGCGGCAGTCACATGAGCTAAAGTCTAAACTCCTTGAAGGGGGGGATATATAGGGGATCATCTAGGGATAATGTAAAAGAAAGTGAAAGCTACTATTTGGCGTTTAGGGTCTAAACTCCGTAAAAGGGGGGATATATAGGGGATGATATGGGGTTAAGGGTTTAGGGTCTAAACTCCTTAAAGGGCGCATATATAGGGGATGATATAGGGGACTATTATAGGGGGGATTAGGGGGGATACTAGGAGTTTAGACTATGGCTCAGATTGTAGAGGTTTGACGTGAGGTCACGATTACTGCTCTCAGGTGCGTGCAGTAGTAATTACGATCATTACTGCTACCGCTACTACGATTATCAGTACTCCTCTTCCTCCTCCAACTGATCTCACGGATTATTGTAACCATTTCTCTCAAAGCCTTGTGTCTTGGGGTGACAAGACTTGTAGTGTGAATAGGGATCTGGCCAATGAGCAGTGGCGTGCGCTTCAGGTGCGCCAGCACTGCTGATATGAGCTATAGTCTACACTCCTTCAAGGGGGGATATATAGGGGATTAGATAGGGGACTATTACAGGGCTTCTTAAGGGGGATACCAGGAGTTTAGATTCTGGCTCATATCATTGAGAGTAGTGGTGATGCACTTGGCTAATGCCGAGCTTGTAGATGCCTGCAATACACGAAGCCACAGACTACTTGATTGTTGACAAGGAACAGGCAGAACGGAATGAACGTCTGCCAAAAGTTTTTGCTGACAGGAATGCAGGTGTAGGCTGTTGACCATTCATATTCGTCACTCCAGCCGTAAACAGGCTGACAGCTGCGGTTGTAAGTGGGAGAAAAGTTCTGAGAATCATGCTGATGACCCATGTTGGGCTTGTAGTCTAGCTCTGGGTGACAATGTCGGGCTCACAACTGTAATCTCAATAGCAGATGCCCGAGGCTTCTTGACAACTCACATGAAGAACTCTACATACAAGAGTTGTGCCGTACTTCGGACCATCCTTGCAATATTGTGACGGGTTTCAGGGATGTGCTTCAGAGTTAGAGGGCACCTGGTTTGCCAGCCAGAAGGGCAAGACACCGACATGTAAACCAATCTGCTTCGTGCTGCGAGTACCAGAAATTGTCCATGCCGCCGTTCTTGTTGGTTGTGTTTGTGTCCAGACTTAGCATCGAGGCAAGACAGACAGCATAGCTTTTCTGCGTTAAAGCAACTGGTGCTCGACCACGATCACGTACTTCTACTTTTTCTGCTATGACCATTGTAGAGTAGTGCAGCAGTCATCATCATCATCATCACCATCATTATCACCGTCATGATCATCATCCTTATCATGATTTCATGATGGCAATATTGTGTCAAGATTTCAGTGCCATGAGTGTGCACTCGCCCTGACTCTTTCAACACTGGTCCTCATTCGCGAATCCTGTTGTTCGGAGGCTGTTGCACTCTCGCTGCAGGGCATCAGCCCCCTGCCCACTCACTTTTACAACAAACCGAACTATTTGCAATAGACAGCCAGAGCTGGCGAAACTAGTGCCCCCGTCTCTGCCTGAGAGCTTCTGAATTTGGAAAGAGGTTTTTGTAAAGGGCAATGGCGGGATGGCAGGCTATCAGCAACTTCAAGATGTGTGATCCCATTTTTGAGACAAGTGCTCTTAACCTCAGAAACCTAGCTGGCTTCCTGCTTCAGGGCCCATGCCGGAAGAAGTTCGAGCCGGGGCCTCTGGCTTACGATGCTTGCCAGTGCAGACTGCGCATGCTCTGAGCGCATCCTGGCTATGTCATGGCTTTGGATTATTAATTCTTCCGTCCATCAAGGCAACATGCGCTGGAGGGTTGGTGGTACTGCAGTAGCCAAGAGCGGCTGCGCGCGACAACCAAACAGACTGTGATGAAGAGCAGCGCTCTACCAGCAAACTGGTAGGTTCAAGGCATCTCCGCATTCTGTTTTTAGCGCGCCATGTGGGTTTCCCTTTTGTTTCTGTTGGCTAAGAGCCTTTGAGTGTCCAAGCTGGCATGGCCGCCGACTCCGGCTATGTGCACGGCTAGCTGCTGCTGTGCGT